CCTCTGTGGGATTCGAACCCACGACAGCAAGGAGAAGAGTTTATTGGAGTTCTTTCTGGCCGCTCTCAAACTCTCCGGCCAATGGCGTGTCAATCGCGGTGGGCATTCTGGAATATTCTGGCCTGTGGCGTGTCGCACGCTGATTGGCCACTCCTCACGCTGGAAGCCCCTCACGGAATCCCCTCGAATATCCGGGCCGCACGCGTGAGCAAAGGTTTTACGCTCATTCGATATAAAAGCGCAAGCTGATTGGCGGGCTGGTCTTACGCGGAACCCAGCCAGCGCGGCCTACTGCAACGCACGTGGTCAGACGTTCCTTTCGTCTTAGACCGTGATTCCATTGTGGTTCCTGTCCCCGTAGCATTCCATTTAATTAATCAGAAAGTGTAATCTCCACCCAGATGCTAGAATTGCAGCTTGTGGGCTACGGGAGGTTCTTGGCGAACTGCCCCACAATTAGGTCTGAAAGCATTGATTTCCTTGGTGCGTTGCAGACTTGCTCGCACATGGTTCCTTCTAATAGGGATTGGGCATTCAGACAGAATTTATGGAGCAAGACGCAGTGTTGCTGTTGTACTATCTTGGTTGTTGCGTCATATTGACTCTCAAACAGTTCGCTGACCGACCCGGTCAGCCCGGTCCTATGGGGTTGAGGGGAACTGAGGGGAGCGAGATGAAATGACACCACAACTTCGTCTATTTTGAACCGCAGCCCCTTTTGCCGTTTCAGGAATAGAACAACTGAGGTGGCCGTTGAACCTGAGTTCAAGGGAAAATTATCAGACGTCACAACAGCCATTTTGGCCTAATTGAACGGTGGCGCGCTGCCCAGTGACACAATTGGCCGGAGAGGATGACTTCTATCTATATATTAGGCAGTACATATAATGTGGAGAAGGAAACATGATCGTTGAAATAGGAGCTTTTTTCGCCTGACATTTTGGATTCTTGCACGAACCCATTATCAGAGAGAATAGCGGATACGTGTGGTTGCTGCACAAGGGGCTGCGGTATTTATAGGATGCAGTAGCCATGCTACCGCATACCTATGAACATTCACGGCTCCCCCCTTCATCCGGGATCATCGCACTTGGTGTGATCACTGCTTGATGGCCGCCATTCGAGTCGATAATTGCTGCAATTTCATCACGTTTGTTGGATGTTGGTGTGATGATTGCTCGACCATCTGACCCACCGACCCTGGTGTTGGGAAAAGTGTTCACGTGTGCAGTAGGAGCGTTAGGAGCAGTATTCGCCTGTGCGCTCCCCGCGAGGCTGAGTACTTCGCCTGTGGAAGGTTGTTGTTAATAGACTGAGGCCAGCAGCTCAAACAGCTCGCGGCTCACGCGGTTGTCACCTCTAGCGAGAATTTCGGTCCCTTCGAATTCGAATGTGTGGCCGGATCTCGCCGAATGAGTCGCAACTCGAGAGCTGACGTCACATCTCATTGCTCCCGCGTGTTCGGCCATTCGCGAGTCATCCGGTTTCTCCGACGTAGCTGCTTACTCCACAACTGCACCCAGATTCGATGAAAGCATCCAGACGTTCCTTGTCGTGGCAGTGGGTCTTTCGGTTTCATTACCTGACGCCTGATGGTTGCCTCTGGTCTGCGTGCAACTCCAACCCCAAATGGTGCGAGAAGGCGGCCGACAGCCTCCGAAACGTTCTTGACATACGGAAGCTCTCGCCAAAATTTGGGGTTCGTGCAGTTAGGCCTTTCTTCCCTTTTGCGTATGCACCGGTTGACGAAGTTGCGCGGGTAGCCATTGACTTTGAAGACCCGTCGGAGGTATTGTAATTCGGCAATCTTGTCTTCCGGCTCATTGTAGTGCGTTTCGACACGCCGATAGAGCGTCCTTACACAACTGCGTTTGTGGCTGATTGGGTGGTTGCTGTTGGAGTTCAGTACTTGCATCGTATTTGTCTTTTTCCTGAACATTTTGGTCTCTGATGATGGGTTTGAATAGGAATCCGAAACGTCGGGCTAGTAAAGCTCCTGTCCCAGCGATCGTGTCACCTTCTTCAAGACTCCTTCCTGGGACTCGTCTCTTCGCTTCTATTGGCAATGTACTTAAGCGTGATGCGCTCTGATCGACCCGGCGATGGGAAACCTTCGCCCTTCGGGAGGCCTCCATGCATTTGCAGATCCGGTTTTTGCACAGATTTCTCGACAATAATGCGTTACCGAAATGTTTCTCATACAAGCTCCTGGTTAACACGGATTTGGCGAGACGAGCAGTATTTTAGCATAGCGGAAGGATGATCCGAATGCTCCTCCAAGATTTCCACCGAGGGAGGTGATTTGTCTCGTCGTATTCCTCGGACATTTCTTTGGAAATTCCAGTCGACAGAGGCAGAATTCGCATTTGTGGGGTTGAGGCGTGCTTACCGGCTCAGCGCTCTGATGTGACCGAACTTCATTTGCTTTGAGGACAGAGGGCGGACTAGGATTTCTTCCGCCAGCTCAAAGTCCCGTTTCGTTTGTAGGTTTCTGGCCTGCGTAGTAATCGCCTGCTGCAGCAACTTATCTCTGCCCTGCCAATCAGTGCGTTACAATCTGCCGCTACCTGGTTACCCGTGATATTGGCTTGATCAAACGTGTCCCCCGACGGATTCACATGAGAAAAGGCGTGAGGTAGGAGATGTTACTCACACCGCTCAGAGACGCCTACGTGACCGTCACGGTTTCAATATTGCAAGGTGCTTCATGGTATTCACTTCAAATGACACAAGTATGTCTCACTTTAAACACTAGGAAAATGAAACCATAACTCGCCCAGACTTTGTTTTGGTAGGACACCGAAATAGGAATGCCCCCCCCCCCCCATAATGGCGGTGACCCCAGCCCTACCATGACCCTAACTCTGACTTAGATCTTCGCCTTAACTCCGATCTCCCTGGAATTTTGCGCAATGTCACTTGCGTTACGGGGGTTCCCCATTTCCTGCGTCCCATCCGTGTTTTTTGTAATTTATATTTGGGGACGCAACGTTTCGCTCCTGTTAGCAATGAATTTGAGTGCGAATGGTTAACCTCAGCACGACGATGTGGAACCTCCTTGTCTTTCTTGTGTCATCAGCGTACATACCTATTCAAGTCCTTAACAAACTTTATGGTTAATACGTGCTTGCCTAGAGACCGCTAGTGGACACAAGCCTGGCAAACAGTTTCGACGCAACATGCCAGATGATGGACCGGGGTAATTTTGCCTATAAAAATATCACGAACTTCCGGGTCGGGCGTTCTAGTGCCGAACCGCAGGCGACGAGCTGCTCGTCTGTGCAAATAATCTATATTGCCTCGTCTACGGCGCCTCCATTGTCATTGTAAGACGAACAAGACAGACGATCGATAAGCCAGTAATTGTTTCCGTCACTCCTGGCGTAGAGCCGACTTTCACACTCCGTTAATCTGAGCACGTATTCTGGTTGTGAAAGCTCCAAAGTTCTCAAGAGTATTTTACTGGAACTCTTCGTCTGTATGAAGCAAGCTACTGCATGGAAAAGGAGCTGTTAGTACCGGTGGCATGAAGTACCGGCTCATCCGTAATGTAAACCGCATCCCAGATCTGTAGTGAAATGTAAGTCTGTTTTGTTTTACTTAGTTACAATACGCTTTTTAAAGAACTTGACACAACTTTGAATGAAACATAGAAAAAGCACGTGCACTTTTACCCGCTGACGAATTTGTTCTTATTTACTAGTTTGTAACGGTTGGGATACTGCTATCTTCGTTTCCTAAAAGCCTACTCGCAGTACCCAACTAATGGGTTTATCACCCACAGATCTATTTTCTCCATGGCAACAAAGGCGACTGTGATGCAACAGAAGGGCAGAAAGTTAATACGGCCGGGTGTGCTAATTGTCGTTCCTCTTCCTCTGTCGTCCCGTCGGAACGGCGCTGGTTGGAGTCGACAAAGAATTTTTTAGTTAAGCTTTTAAACCCAGCCAGTCAGCTGACCACCAATGAGTTCTTCGACTCAGCCACACTAGAACGCCACTAGAGAGTCGTACCCCTTCGTCTAAGAGTTGCATTGTCAGATCACTTGCATCCAGAACCTTCGCCGTTGTGTTTCGTGCGCCAGCATGGGGTGTAGAGGCACTGCCAACCACAGCAGGTCCTTATAATCAAATTCCCATCCTCTCTTTCTCTCTTTCTCCCTCCCCCTCTCTCTCCCCCTCAGCTTCTCCTTCTTATTTCGTAACTTTGACGACTTCGTGGTAGGGCTGACTTAGACGGCCCCCCACAAACAGGACATCAGAACATGAACCACCTGCAATACGGGTGGCTTTGGGCCAAATTCCAGTTAGATTAGAGTGAGGTTTAAGGTTAGGGTTAGGTTACGGGTTTAGTTTAGGGCTAGATTTAAAGAAAGAAAAGAGTGGGTTTGAAGAAGAAGAAGAATCGAGCACCGGAACAATTCGTTTATTATCCTGAGCTTTCAGACTCGTACAGGAGTCCATCGTCAGAGGTAGTGGGTTTATTATTATATAACCTCTTGGGCACTGTCAGTCTCCTGTGAACTCAGGAAAAAAACCTGAAACAAATCTTCCATTTCGGCTGCACTTTGACTTAATTTGTTTTGGATATCTGTTTGGTTCATAGAGCGCGAATAGAGTTCGTTTTGAGATTAAAACACCCGAGTTCCAAGGCAAAATAGTTGCAAAAGTTAAAAAAAGAACGATACACACAATAGAGATGTTAAAGATTAAGTTTAGGGTTAAAATAAGGACCAGTGTTACTGACAGAGCTAAGGTTTAGGGAAGGGTTAGGGTCAAGACTAGGGTAACGGTTTAGTTTTCTATTAGGGTTATTGTTTGGGTTAGGACACGGGAATGCTTTTCCCTTTCCCTAATGATGCGCACTTTCACCTTTATTACTTGGGTGGTGCGTGCCTATCCCCATGGCCTGTTAACGGGGCCACATAAGTCAGTCCCACCAACTTTTTCTTTTTATTTTTCCTCATCTTCTTTGCCATCCTGGCCTTCTTCCACACCTTCCTAGATCCTGCCATCCTGCTGCTCCTCCTCCAACACCACGATCCATCCACCCATCCACCACAACCACTGCAAATTGAATGTCGGGGAATATTGAGTTCCATAAGACCTTGAAGTCCTGAGCATCGTTCCACTTGAATGCGACAAACGTGTCGTCGATATAGATGACCCGGAATTTTGGGGAGCATAAACGGAAGACCAGTCGCCCGAGCCTCTGCAGAACCACCTCGGCAATAAGCGTCGTCGTCGTCGTCGTCGTCGTCGTCGTCGTCGTCGTCGTCGTCGTCGTCGTCGTCATCATCATCATCATCCTCATCACCCTTCCACACTGCCATTTGGTCAACATCGTGCCTGCGTTTATCGCAATTATTACGAAAACCGGGCTGTCTGTCTACCACACGTGGAATATATAAGCCTTATTCGCTGTGGAAACAAATGTTTATTATTGTGTAATCAAGGTATGACGAAATCGGACACTGACTGACACACTGATGCCCGGCAGAGTAGCCTTACCGACAAAGGCAAGGGAGACGGGAATGGGCATTTCTGGCTTATTAACTGTCGTCAGCCCGTCATGTTCAACTTCGAGGTATGTAACACCTGCCACGATGAGGCCTGCTGACGGAGATTTCGATGTTAGGAAAATAGACAATCACAAGTTTGAATTAAACAAGTTATTGGTTTTGATGACGTGCCCCTAATATTTTAATGAACCAGGTGTATTCTTTCCAGTTGGGATGAGTTGGTATGTTGGTGACAGACCAAATCATAAATTGTGGAAAACAAATAGGACCAGATAGCGGCGAGACAATTATTTGTAAAACCAATTTGGTTAGTCATGAAAGAATAATTTTCTGCAGTCTAGTGGAACAAAGGCACAAAGTCGTTTCTAGTTCGGGGTAATTAGCTTTGCTCTGCGACTTGACTAAGGCTAAAGTAAGCTGATGTAATGGCGCATGTTGCTGTACCAATTATGCGCAACAATTGAGACTATTTAAATAATAGCGCTATATCAGTTCTACTTGCCCGTTGCCTTGTGAGAAGTGTATTTGGAGATTTCAGTGAAGTTATATCATGGAAAACAGTATTATTTATTTACAAACTCCACCTCAGACTTCAGCAGATGAGGAATAAAATGCAAAAGATGGGACTTGTTTCGACCTACAAATAAAAGCGGCAATTTATCACCCGTTTAGACGAAAAAAGCAGTAAAAATTTCGTTACGCGTCGTTATCGGTGGCTTGTTGAGCGGTTGACTAAATCAGTGCACCTCACACTGCTGGGCCAGTTCGTTCCTTTCAACTCTCTACTATATGGTAACACCTGCATGTATTTGGTCTTGTGGATATACGTTTTTGTCTCTGATGATGGGTTCGAGCAGGAATCCGAAACGTCAGGCTAATAAAGCTCTTGTCTCAGCGATCGTGTCTCCTTCTTCAAGATCCTATGATTGGCCTAACACTGATGACTTTTCCATGCCTGCATCGAACGGCAGCTCACTTCGCCCTCACCGAGAAAATTGACACCTTACGAAATATCGTCTGATAAGCAACACTTCTTTCTGGGTCTCTCAAACTTTTTTTTATTTTTGGACCTCACAGACGACTGTAAAAAGCTAAAAGTTAGCTAAAAGAGGCATCTCTCATCAATGGCCCACAACTGTCAGTATGAGTCAAGGCGTCACTGGAATTTTTTGCGGATTTTTTTTGCATTGGTACTAATGCC